GGTCTTCTAATGCCGTTTGGAATAAGCGAATGGAGGACATTCCAAGAAAGAGTAAACTAAAATAAAATCGAGGCCAATTTGGTGGCTTTTCTTTCGAGCCGTCCATGAGAAGGAATTGAATCAATACACGAACGGCCAGTGCCAATATCCACATTGAAAATTCGTAATGGCCACTAATGGCCGAAAAATCCGCTAGATAGCGTTCGATCGAAAGGTATTCTCTTTGAAAAACTCAGATGAAATGGGGGAATGGAGCGGCTGGGGAGGAAAGTGAATTATTTCGTCCCAAATTCTTGGCATGAACGGCTTTTTACAGCAGAAGGGGCGATAAATTAACATTATTCTTCCGATTGGAATGAAATCTCCCATTTAGTCGCTTCGCAAAAGATTGGAAATTCATATATCAAAACCATACACATACAGACGCACACAGCGCATACATGCACCCGAATATATGCCGAATATATTTCTAAGCGTACTCGCATGGTACACGAGATACAAGATAAAATCATTTTTTTATAAGTGAAAATTTGTGTGTAAATCTGCTCTATAAGCCATGGCAACTGATGGAACCTTCTTATTCTGAGGCGAGACGAATTTATATCTTTCTGTATATAACGTTCCTTCAAAAGCACATACTACAAACAACTAAATTTGAACGAGAACGTTATAACTTTTCATTCATTCGACACATGTCTTTTTTTCTTTCTGTGTGCCACTTTCTTCCTTTCGCACTTAAACTGCGTTTTTTAGTCAAATTCCCAATACTTTTTGATCAACTTCGTATGTATCTGTAAAGGGAGAGTGATTTTTGAAGGGGGTGGTTTTCTTCACCTTTAATGTTTCAAGCTATTTACAATTCACAAATTAAAGCTTTTATCTATTAGGCCATTTTCTGAGGCCTCCACGGTTAAATATTCATGTGCATTTGTGCCGAGCAGTGTGTTTCTTTGATTTTTTGGATTTGTCCTTCAGGTGAGCAATCTGAAGAAGATAGTACTAAATAAAAAAATAAAAAAAAAAATAAATGATATACCTTAGACATGAGCAATGGAACGAGAACTGCCTGCCGCCGTAGATTGAATAAAGAGTTCACTTCGGAATACCATGTAACGTACACCTGAGGAAAACCAGAGGGCATAACAGTAGAAACGTTATGATAACAACAACGTAGATGAAATCTGATTTCAAATCAAATTCAAGAAATTTGGCTTAAAATATATATATATATATATATATATATATATATATATATATATATATATATATATATATAAAGAAAAACAGACCACTTTAAGGTACCATTATAATAATTTATTTCACCAGAGTCCTTTTAAAAGGACGCCGGATCATCAGATAGCACTTCCAACAACGAAATGAAACGAAAAATGATATTAAAATTGATAGGTAGTGTAAGATTTTGTAAAATTAACAGGGGGTGTGAGAGGGATAGTTAAAGAGACATGTTAGAGTATAGGGAGGGGTTAATTTCATATCTCTCTCAAGTGTACTTTATATTGGAGTAGGAGGAGTGACCAGACCATGACCTATTTAGATGGTTAACATAACGGAAATGATATACAGAAAATGGTGGGGTGGGTAGGAAGAAAAGAAAAAAGGAAAAATGAAAAACAAAGAGGAGACAGAAAACAGTAATACAGATATGTACAATTGAGTATTACAGCAAGACGAGAGAGGGAGAGGGAAGTAAATCGAAAGAGGCTGTAATTGGGTTTTAACAATTTATGTAAAGGATAGATTTCAATGCTTGATAGAAATTTAGATTTCTAAAAAAATTTGATGATTGCTATCAATTCAAATATTTAATTATTTAAACAAATAATTTAGTGGCTTAATATATATATATATATATATATATATATATATATATATATATATATATATATATATATATATATATACCGTCATCCACAGACAGATTCACTGTATCACAGCTAGTCAGTGTGGCTAGACATCAGTAATAGTGACTGTTTACAAATCCGTTCCTTACTCCCAAAGAGCTCGACCGATTAAATTATTTCATCGGGAGCTAATATCGTCACGCAAAGACCAACTGTTTCGTTGTATCACAGCTCATCAGTGTGGCTAGACATCGTTTCTTTTCAGGTCAGGACTGAAAGCCGACCGATGTGGTATCAATCAGAGATTCAGACCATCGACCCCCGGCAGAGATTTAAAGGCGAACTTTTTGTTTATTTTTTTCAAATAAACTCAAAGTCACTCAAAGATATACATAGGCGAAGCTTGCATTTTCACAAAGTGATTTATATATATATATATATATATCATATATATATATATATATATATATATATTTACGATATATTCAGTCGTATTTTGAAGATGGCGTGAACATGAAACTAGAGTTACGCCTAGGTCTATCCTTTAATAGGATTTGACGTCGGTAAGCGTTTTTTTCCTGGGTCTAGACATTCTAGGATCCAAGCAATTTACTCAGCAGGTAAGTTTGCCTAGAAAT